TATCAAGGAAACAAAAATATTCACCACTGGACTAAGGCAACATCAAGACAGCTGGAGAAAAGACCAATTACTTTAATTTACTTATTCTTTCCATTCCTACCAATATGCTTGGTATTGACAGTCAGCAGACTGGCAAAGTCTGTAGTCAAAGATCTCTTCAAATTAGTGAGATGCAGTGATGTTAGTTTGAGGACTAAGGGGAACCTGAATCAGACCATGTTCTTTTCAATCACTTGCTATGTATCTGAGAGCTGGACAATGAATAAGGATGGCAGAAGAAGAAATGATGGCTTTGAGTTGTGGTGTTGGAGAGAGTAAAGGAACAAACATATCTTGGAGAAAGTGAAGCAGGATGCTCCTTGGAGGCAAGGATGGTGAAGCTTCATGTCACATACTTTGGACATGTTGCTAGGAGAGCCTACTCCTTGGAGAAGGACATCATGCTTGAAAGGATGGAGGGATGGGTAAGGAGAGGAAGATTCTCAACCAGGTGGATTGACACAAGGACTTCAGCAATGACCTTGAGTATGTCAGAGATTGTGAGTTTGGCACAGAGTAGGACAGGGTTCAGATTGTTGTTCATAGGGTTGCTATGAGTTTTATCCGACTCATTGGCACCTAACAACAATATAACAGGATTTATTTTGTACTACTGATTTCTAACTTCCCCCCTAGAGCTTGTCATCTATGTGGTCGCTTCCATACAGACATGGGTTTTCAGGCAGGCCATCAGCCACAAGGGATATCATTGCTGATTTCAGATGTATTTTGCCTGAAAACAAATAATACCAAAAGGATGTTTGTGTCTTATTGACTATGGAAAGGCACTTGTGTGTGTGAATAATAACAGATTATAGATAATATTGATAGGAATGAGAATTCCAGAATACTTAACTATGCTCACGTGAAACCTAAACCAAGAAGATATTACTCAAACAGAACAAGGTAACGATTTAAAAAAGTTGTATCCTTTTTTCATATTTATTTAAACTGTGTACTGAGCAAATCATTTGAGAAGGTGGACTAATGAAGAAATATGTGGCATCAGGTTTGGAGGAAGACTTATCCGACAACCTGTGTTAGGCACTATTTGCTTGCTGAAAGTAAGCAGGACTTGAAAGACTTGTTGCAGAACATCAAAGACCACAGCCTTCAATATGGATTCATCTCAACACCACAGAAGCAAGGGTGCTCACCAATGGAATAATCAACAACATCGTGACAGA